GTGTAAGAATACTAACTAATTTTATTGGAAATCAAATAAGTCTACAGGGTGGAAGGATTAGAACTAGGCTACAAATCCAACAACAGGTTCCCCGGCCCAATCCAGTTCTCCATATCAAGCCTCTCTTTCGCAGCTTCAAACCAGGGCGAACTGGTCCTTGGAAATACCATAACAATGATGTCAAAATAATCTTTTACCCGCACCCGGAAAAAAAAAACAGCCGAGCACGGAGGCTCCACAATTTGTTGCTTGGATCATTGTTGAGTCGGCTTGATCTTGACAAACAATTGCTTGGATTGTGAATATTGTGAACATTGGCAGTTTCGGACTCCATGTTCCAAAGAATCATCAAACAACATAATTTAGCAAATTACTACGCGACATCTGACACTTTTTGATAACCTCAATGCAAACACATGGAAACATGAACTCCTTGTAAAAGATTATTGAGAAAAACACATGGGAGTGCAATGCATTTGTATTGTTTGCCTTCAGCTTTATCGGACAGACACGATGATTCGCACTTGAATAAGAGAGTTTTTTTTTCTAGAAAGAAAAGTTACATGACTCATGGGTCACCTTTCTTTTGATCGGAGGTTGAAGTGGGCCCCAGCCCAAACATGAATGGATACCAGTACTTGTTTGGTTATTTTCTTATTTCAACAATTAATAAGTATAGAAAATATGTCCTGTTGCCTGTCCTCTTCACCATCGCCATCCTCATCCTCTTCCGTTCGTCCCCTAGGTGTCGCTGATCCAAACCAGGTCGGCGAGTGATGACTGTCACCTCGAATCTGAGAAACGCATTCGGTCCATAACTTTATTTGTAATTTTCCCGAATTTTCTCACCGTTGATGTTTGTTTGCTCGCATATGAGATAACCGAACTTTTTTCTTCGGGATTAAACCATCTCAGCTCTTCCCGGTCCAAGCCTGGCGGGATACCATCGACAACCATGACCAAGGAGAGGATGCTCATACTCATAGGAGAGGTTTGGTTCGTCAGTGCTCTCGGACGAGCTAACGAAGAGCTGCTCCTGCAGCTGCCCGTCAAATCCATCCCGCGCTTCCGTGTCATGGGTTGCTCCTGAGTTGCGGGGCTCTTGTCTGAGGAGTTATGTAGCCTCCACATGGCCAAAGCGGCGCCACCTAAGCTCATATTCATCTCGCCATCAGCAACATACGACTCCACTAGGGTGTATTCGCGCTTGTCATTAGAATTTAGCAATGGCCCCTTGTTTTGCCCTCGACGACGTGCACGACGACTTTGCGGTCTTATCACTTTCACCGTGCCGCAACCTCACGCATGACGCGGTAGCACCAGCCTATTACGTCTTTAACGCGGCCACACGGGTGGTTACCGGCTTGCCGTCTTGCCAGCGGGGCCGATCTAACCAAATATTAGTCCGTGTGTGACTCAAAATAAATATAATCATTTAGACTAAATTGTAGTATTTATTTAAAAATGTTTTTTGTGAAATCATAATCATACGCAATTTTAACATATTGCACCTTAAAATTAAATAAATCAAATCCACTTAAATATTAGAAAATAATAAATTTGAAATTTACTTTTTCTCGGATTAATTTGTGCCTATTGCATGAATATAGTTATATGTTTTTCTGTGCATTCTTAAAAAAGAAGCACACTTTTTTCAGCCTACGGTATTATTATATATCTCTATAGTGTATTCCTCAAAAAATGGATCTCTATAGTGTATGCTATACAAAATATCTTGATAGCGACCTGACTAGACGTACGCAAATAGACAAATCTAGATTATACAAGATGTTTACTGCTACCTCCGTTTCAGTTTACAAGTCTTACGCGTATACCTAGGTTACCAATTTTATCACCCTAATATAAACTATATAACACAAAAATTATACCTTTTGAAAGTAGAAACTTCGAAGTTTATGTTGGTATATTTTTTGTAATATATGACTTGTATTAGATTGGTTAAATTGATGATCTAGGGGTACGCGCACGCCCTATAAACTGAGAGAGAGGTAGTAGGACTTTGTCACTTAATCATTGACACACTACTTTATTACTAATAGAATGCCCGTGTTTTGCCACGGGCCTTTTAGTTTGTTTTATTGCACCCATAAATACAAACTAGGCACCCATAAATACAAACTAGATAGGAAGTGCGGCTTGCCGCACCCGGCAGCGGTGCCGCCGGGTATAGTCATATCCAATCTGGTTATACAATCATTAAAACACTGTAAATATAGAAAATAGCATAATATAGTTGGGTTTATCAGTCTGAGGAGTCGTTTGAAGAAAAAGCTACTTGGGTTGTGTTCTCTCGAGAGAACCATTGCGCGGCAACAGTCTCGTATGCTACAGCTGCGAGAGGGAGATGGGTGTACCAGGCTGTTTCACCAGCAAGCGAGCCATAGGCAAAGAAAAAATCTACTTTGATCGGTGAAGTATAATGGGACCATTTACACCGGGCAGGAGGAGGTGGCGTCAGTGGTGGATGCCTACTATGAAGCGGCTTTTGGCACTACGGAATCAAGGAACTACACCCTAAACCTCCAGGATCTAGGCTTTCCACATCTAGATCTATCGCAGCTGGAAGAGCCATTTTCTTCAGAGAAGGTGGAAAAAGTAATCAAGGATATGCCCCCGGACAAAGCACCGGGGTCGGATGGGTTCACGAGCCGGCTTTATGCATCTTGCTGGAACATCATTAAGGGAGACTTTATGAAGGCAATGAACTGCTTTTACAATGGAGACGTCCGAGGTTTGGCTGCGAACAACAAATCCCTTGTCACTCTTTTGCCCAAGAAGGACGGTGCCTTGGAGGTGGCTGACTTTAGGCCGATTAGCCTCATCCACGGGGCAATAAAGATCTTTGAGAAGGTGCTCGCCTGTAGGTTGGTGACACAACTTCCAAAACTCGTGGAAAATCACCAAAGTGCTTTCATCAAGGGTAGATCTCTGCATGATAATTTCATGTTGGTCCAAAGCACGGCTCGTAGACTAAATGCCCTAAAAATACCTATGATGCTACTAAAGCTCGATATCTCAAAGGTATTCAACTC